CGGGCCGCCATCGAGGGCACGGCCGCGGACTGCGCTCCTGTCCCGGTCATCCTCACCGCCATGCAGCAGCGGATCTGCAACCTGCTGGGAGAGGCAGCGCACAGAATATTTTTATTTTTTTTTCAGAATTCTGTTTTTTTTTGTTTTTTTTACGGAATTCTGACATTTTTCTCAGAATTCTGATTTTAATCTCAAAATTCTGACATTTTTCTCAGAATTCTCATTTTAATCTCAGAATTCTAACAATTTTCTCAGAATTCTTTCATTTCAATATGGAAGAGGATTAGGGACAATGGAAAAATAAAGTTAACTGATTTTTAAATTTTATGCAGTTTAATATGAAAAAGTCAGAATTCTGTTGTTGTTTTTTTACGGAATTCTGACATTTTTCTCAGAATTCTGATTTTAATCTCAAAATTCTGACATTTTTCTCAGAATTCTCACTTTTTTCTCAGAATTCAATTTTTTTCTCAGAATTCTCACTTTAATCTCAGAATTCTAACATTTTTTTCAGAATTCTGACATTTTTCATTTTAATATGAAAGAGGATTAGGGACACTGAAAAAATAAAACAAAATTAACTGATTTCTGTCAGACTTAATATCTCAAAAGTCCGACTTTAATCTCAGAATTCTCACTTCAATCTCAGAATTCTAACAATTTTCTCAGAATTCTTTCATTTCAGTATGGAAGAGGATTAGGGACACTGGAAAAATAAAACAAAGTTAACTGATTTTTAAATTTTATGCAGTTTAATATGAAAAAGTCAGAATTCTGTTTTTTTTTCCCTCATAATTCTGGCTCTTTTCCCTCAGAATTATATTATATATTATTGTATATCAAAATCTAGTTATTAAAAGAGAATGAGTTCTGTACTTATCATGTTTTATGTTAGTAAATTGATGTGTATTATTAACCAGCGTTTTTGTTGTCAAGTAATTATGAATATATGAAAAAACAGTAAGTAATATATGAAAAATGAAAATGTTTTGAATATTCCACTTGAGAGTATTATTGATGCCACCATCTGTATTAGAGGGAAAATTGCTAGGGGTGGCCACCCCTGGCCCACCATCTAGCTCCGCCCCTGTGTCTATGCAGAACGACTGTGAGGAAAGAGAGCATTTTTTATTTATTTTTTTTTTTATAGCATTTGGTGAATAACCTTCAGGTTATTTACCACCATCATCTGGTAAGAAGTGGATTCATTACTAATAAATTTGGGATTTTCATAAGTCTGTGATCAACAGTTGTAGCCATTCAGAATTTACCCACTTTCCTTGATGGACCCTTGGCTGGTCCCCTACAATTCCTTTTTTAAACATTCAAAATATTCTGTCAATATTTGTGGACATCAGGATCTAAAGATAAGTTTTATCTCCTGGTCAGACCCTGTATTTCAGTGAAAGGGTGCAGTAAAAAAAACAAACGCACACTCATGAGAAGGTCAGTGGCTGGAAGTTGCCAACCTCAGGATTCCTTGCATCCAACCCTCTATGAAGTCAGACAATCATTTTTACAATTTATGTAAAAGTTAATATTATTTAGAAAGTCGGGATGATTAAATTTAGGAGCATGAAGTAAAACAAACTTTAAAGTTAAAGTTTCTACATCTCTGTTGTGAAAAAGATGGAAAAGTTTGCAGGCAGTCAGCTCGGTGTTTAAATCCTGCTGATCAGGCTCAGGGTTTGTTGTTCTTTTCGCTGCGCTTTGTTAAAAGTTGTTGGCGTCTTTTTTATCCAATAGAAACACAGCCTCGCTGGACACTCGGCCAATAGGAGCGCGGTGGGCGGAGCTTCGTCCCAGGCTAGCGTAAACGTCGTTTGTAGGAAGAAGAAGCCGATTCTGGAAGCCATTACGCTGCGCTCATAAAGTAAGCAAATCCCACTATTTTTGCGTACATTACGCACATTTACCTCTGTCAGGAGGATTTTCTGCGGCTATGGCTTCAGCCGCCAAGAAGAGGAAGATGAATTTCTCGGAGCGGGAGGTGGAGATCATCGTGGAGGAAATAGAGAAACAGAAGCAGACCCTGGTGAGCCACTTCAACGCCGGAGTCAGTCACATGGCCAAGAACAACGCCTGGATGGACATCCTGAGGAAGGTGAACGCCGTCACCACCTGTCCCAGAGAGCTGCCCGAGGTCAAGAAGAAGTGGTCCGACATGAAGACCGAGGTCCGCAGGAAGGTGGCCCAGGCCCGGGCCGCCATCGAGGGCACGGCCGCGGACTGCGCTCCTGTCCCGGTCATCCTCACCGCCATGCAGCAGCGGATCTGCAACCTGCTGGGAGAGGCGACCATCATCAGCCTGCCTGCCGGGGAGCAGGATGCGGAGCTCGGCCTCCCGGTGAGCGCAGCGACCGCTGTCAGCCTGGCTGAAGGTAAACCTGAGAGGCGCCGAACAAGGAAAACTTTATTAAAATAATAACATATACCTGGGCTATTAGCTTAGATAAAGGTATACTTTAAAAAGTTATTCATTATAGATAAACAAAATAACTTGTTGAAACATGACAATACTTTAATATGGAAGAGGGACACTGGAAAAATAAAACAAATTAACTGATTTCTGTCAGAATTCTGACTTTCTTTTCTCAAAATTCAGACTTTTTTTCACAGAATTTTTATTTATTTTTTTTACAGAATTCTGTTTTTTTTTTTTTTTACAGAATTCTGACATTTTTCCTCAGAATTCTGACTTTTTTGTCAGAATTTTCACTTTTTTTCTCAGAATTCCAACTTTAATCTCAGAATTCTGACTTTAATCTCAGAATTCTAACAATTTTATCAGAACTCTGACATTTTTTATTTTAATATGAAAGAGGATTAGGGACACTGAAAAAATAAAAACAAACTTAACTGATTTCTGTCAGAATTCTGACTTCTTTTTCTCAGAATTCTCACTTTTTTTCTCAGAATTCCAACAATTTTCATAGAATTCTTTCATTTCCATATGGAAGAGGATTAGGGACACTGGAAAAATAAAACAAAGTTAACTGATTTTTAAATTTTATGCAGTTTAATATGAAAAATGTCAGATTTCTGTTTTTTTTCCCCCTCATAATTCTGATTTTAATCTCAAAATTAAATTATTTTTCCTAAGAATTCTGATTTTCATCTCAAAATTCAGATTTTTTTTCCTCAGAATTCCAACTTTAATCTCAGGATTCTGAAATTTTTCTCATATAATACTGAAATAAAATTAGAAAAAATTGAATTTCTCAGTAGTCCCAATCGTCTTCTGTACTTTAATGAATAAATAAAAAATATAAAAAAAATAGGTTATTGAAGTGGACTTAAAGTTTACTTACTTTATACCAATGTACATTTTTATAAACCTCATTTTATACTCTTAAGAATAGTATAAGACATTATACTTTTATTTAAAAACTATTAATATAAGACCAAGTGTAATCATACAGAGGACTAAAGATAAATGCCGATGCTGAAGCTTATTTTTGATTGATTAATAGAATTTATTGATGTCACAGTGAAGAAATTTATTTATTTAGTTATACTATCTGTACTCATTTCTGCCACAAAGTACTGATATCTAGAATATCTTCACTGAAGTTTGGGATGAAAAACGTATAAAACTGCATCTTTTTTCTATCTTTCTGTGTTTTTATTATTGTTCATTTCTGTCCTCAGGCTCCCTGTAATATTTTCCTTTCTAATCATTTAATTTCTTATGTTATTACATGTGTATTTATTAATTTTATTTTCTGTCTTCACTGCTCAAACATATCGCTGTTGGTGGGTTTAATAAAGGTCTAAGTAAGCACTATATTATAAATATACTTTAAACTAAAATGTGAACGGCTCAAATGTGCCTTTTCCAACAGTAGGAGGAAGATGAGTTTACTGCGTTCTTGTATGTTTGATTTAACCGCGTAACAGAATATTAAAGTTCACCTTTTTATACTTAGAATGTCTTCATTTAGTTCAAAGAAGTATTTATTTAATAAAAATGTGTGGTGCTGATTGCTCTAATGAATGCACCATTGCACTCATCTATCAGCCCGATACAAGGAAAAAAACACAAATATCTGCAGAAATGTCCATTTATAAAGGAGAATGTATGTATTTAAAGTAAGTAGATATGAAACAATTATTTTTTTTAGAAAAAAGATTCTGAATAATTGAAATAATTGGTCTTATTTTAAAAATGCATCATAGTCGGTGTTTAATCTCAGCTGCTCCTGGATTTTTCCATTAGGTTGATTTATTTCGATCAACTTCCTTTTAAAGAAAAAACAGATTCGTATAAATCAGGTTCAAAGGGTTCAACTGGTAAACAGGTTTTGTTTCTTAAATCTATAGGGGAGTCTTAGACTCTGTAAGCTTACAGAGGAAAAGAAATGAGCGTTACTGTCCCACTGAGGGGCCAAAACAAACCAGCTCACATGTCCATAAGAAACGATGAAAAAGTGACGCCATTATGACGAAGATCTGAATCGATAAATAGAAAAGATTTAACATCAACAAAAAGGTTTAATCATAAGGTTATTCACTGATTGGCTGATGCTTGATCAGCTGACTTCTCTTGTCTGACTTTTATTTATGTTTCTGTGGATTAAATTTGTTTTCCTTCCGTCTGAAATGTTAAAGTTTTGTCTTATTTTTGAAGCGACGTTTCCAGATTTTAACGATGTCCGTGTTTTTTAGCTCTTCCAGGAGCTCCAGAAACCGTCTGTGAGGACCCCAAAGCACTGACCCGTAAGTTTTTATTCAGCCGCTTTAAATTCAGTCTGTAAATTACAGAATACATTAGAACTATAGGTCAGGGGTCACCAGTTAAAACAACCAGTAAACTAACCCCATAACATTTCCTGTCAAGGCCTCGCCGTCTGCATTTTAACAATAAAAGCACACGTGAAACTTAAAGCCTGATTTATAGTTCGAAACCAGGTCGTCTGCGTAGGTGTCGCAGTGAACGCAAAGCCGCCCCCCCTCCACAGACGCTCCGCTGCTCCTCTCCCAAATTGTAGCTGACAGCAGACAGCGCCGCAGAC